ATCAGCATCATTATAGACAGCTCGAGCAAGTTGAATCCTCTGCTTCTGTCCTCCACTCATGTTAATCCCTCTCTGACCTATTTCTGTGAGATCACCATGGTTAAAGCTATCGATGTCTTTATCCAAAGCACAGGCTTTAATGGCCTTGTCATATCTTTCCATGTCCATTGGCTTCCCATAGAGTATGTTGTCCCGAACTGTCCCACTTTGGATCCAAGATGTTTGAGAAACATAGGCAATGGATCCAGAAATATAAACCTGTTTGCAAAAAACAGAAAATAGAAAATATGAATTAGCTACACTGTCAGGTGTCAAGAACTTCTTGATAATGTATATACTACTATATTTATTTTGTAACTTACTGTTCCTGAAATTTTTGGTATCTCCCCAAGCACTGCATACAAGAGTGATGATTTTCCAGCTCCAACTGGTCCACAGATTGCAATTTTCTGCCCCTTTCTTATCTCAAGAGCCACATCTCTAATCGTAGGAATTGGTATTTCTGGATCCCAACCGAAGTTGCCTGCTTGGATTTCAACAGTTCTATCACAATTAGGCAATGACTCCTCCATTATTTCAGGACTCTTTAGCTCATGATCAAACAGAAAGGTGTTTATTCTATCAAGTGAAACTTTAACTTGTATCAAAATTGAAAGCGCCTCTGGTATCATTCTCACAGGTTCTGCCATGCCCCTAAGTGCTGCAAGAACTGTGAAGATTGTGCTGGCATTCAGTGGGGCACTTCGAAAGAGAACACATCCCAAGAAGACAATTGAAGAAATGATAGTAGGAGACATCCAATACAAGACAGTTGCATACGGCCTCTTAAACTGTTGTTCTGCCAGCCACTTAAATTCATTGTCTCGTAAGGACTCAATCAAGTTCTTGAATATCTCTTCCCATGATTGTAACTTGATGATTTTCATACTATTTAGAATCTCAGAAGTGGCTCGCAGTCTCTTGTCTTGCGCAACCATAAATTCAGATTGACACTTTTGCAGTAACCTTGCAAATGGCACATTAAGGAATCCACAAATAAGGAGAGGGACTAAGCCAGTGATAGCACCAAGACCAACTACTGAGAAAAGTACTCCAATTGACAAGAAAAGTTGCAATGCAAGACTCCATGTTGAATGGAACCAAAATGGGAATTCTCCCATTCGATAGGCATCTACTGCAATGTAACTCACAATCTCCCCAGTGGAATGTCTTCTTCTTCCTAGACTCGAGAGCTTGAGCTGCTTTTGATAGATAGCCACCATTAAAGCTGATCTCATCCTCATCCCTGATCTCCTTGAATCAAAATACCAATGCCTTTGCGAGAATGACTCTACTGTCTTACAAAGAATGAGACACCCTAATATAGAGAGACCTTCATGCAGATTTTGTTCCTCCTTGTTTGAGTAATTTACAAAAGCATAGAGCAAGAGAGGAAGAGCTACTACAGCTATTGCCCTAAGAAATGCACAAATGGCTATAACTACGTTCTCCTTGAAGTAAACTTTTGTTATGACCTTGAAAACCAAGTTTCTTGTATCATCGCTTGAGTTCTCCCTCAGAAGGGATTCCCATGCATCAGCAAACTTTTGGTGGGCCAAATCTGATCCATCTTCTAGATTTAGGGAAGGGATGTCATCCAGAGCTAATGGTTTGGAATAACCCAAAGAAAGCAAAGGATTAACCCAAGAAAATATCAATTTGCTAAGAAAAGTGGCCTGAGAAAGTTCTATTTGTTTTTGTTCAGTCTTTTCCAATAAGAGAGGTTCAAAGAGGCTTTTGTCTTCAGTGTGATCTTTAGCTAATTGAATGAAGTTTCTAAGAGCACGAAATAGGAGCAAAATGTTCACAGGCCATGACAAGATGTCTAAAATTTGAATGCTATGTGCTTTCAACAGAATCTCAATAGACAAAGCTGACACCAATAAAGAGAAAGACACCCACCAAATCGAGCTAAAATTTTTGATCCATTTGGCTCTTTGAACTAGCAAAGAAACAGCTAATGAAGTCCAGATTATCCCTCTTAGAAGATCAAACAACCAGTTCAAATTCTTAGTTCTGTCATCTTTTGCTATTAGATTCCACAAGCCGGTTCCAAGACACACAATGCTAATAAGAGCACAACAGATTGAAACAACAACTGAGCCCCAATCCCTTCTACTATTTTGGCTTATTTGGTGTTTTCTGAGAGACCCTACAAGCAAGAGAAGATAGAAAACACAAAGGAATAACAGATTTATAACATCTATGATTGTTCTTTGAACGCAAAAAGAACCAAAGTCAAGTTCTCTTTCACAAAACCAAGAAAATCCCCCTGCATATCCATTAAAGATAAACTCAAAATTAGTCTCTACTGGGAAAGATCAGGGATGGAAGAAGCATGAAAGGAAAGAAAACAACACGGAAGTAGGGAAAAAATTGCAACATGAACATTGAAGACTGAACTTCAGAAAGAAGATGTCACATATATTGACATATGGTCATAACCAGAACAGAAAGATCAATTAAAGAAGTAAGCAAAATGAAAAATATTATGAATGGTAAGTTACATTTTCTTTGCTCATGCAATGAATCATTCTAGGGCCCCTACTCTTTCCTTAAAAATTCAGATGATTTGAATCTTTACCAATTTTCAAGAACCAAACAAAGAGAAAAAGAGATGAACAGGATTCTAATGAACAAGATGTTGAAGACTGGGAGATCAGGTTGGCGGAGCTACCAATACATATGCTTCAAGAGAGCATCTTGAACTCAAGAGTGATTTATCAAAAGTTCATGGCTCTCTTCACGTATATATATTTGCCTTACTTTGATCCTACCTCTAAACCCCCCAACACATTATGAAATGATCAAAATCGATGAACATCGAATGATGAAATCCAATTAACATAGAGAAAAATCATATGGGTATCGGGAAAATGAAGGAAAAATCGGGCATACCGAGCAAGTTTTGCAGTGCCGCCATTGCTACAGAGATTCTCCTGGACCAAGCTTCCCGGTACGGTTGAGTTGCAATTCAAATGCAACTAAACTACGTTATTTATAAGGAACACAATGCACATTGCACTTAATTAAGGCAAGCTCGCCGCCAGTTGACGCCAGCTGTTTTTACCGACGAAGCAACAAATAAAAAAACGCTCCTTCTCTATGTTTTCGTCTGTTTCTGCGAAGTAAAATTCTAAGCCTTTTGGTCAGTGGCTTTTGGTGTAACTAGCACTTTTTAATAGAAGTGATGTTAAAAGGAAATTGTTGTATTATTTTTATAAATTAAAAAAATAAAAATAAAATAAAAATAACGTGTTAATTTTATTAAAAGCCAAACAAGAAACTCTTGCAAAAGCACCAGTTCAATGCTTCTAAAATTTGTAATGAAATAGAAAAAATACTAATTTATGAGAAATTGTAGCATTTTTTTACTAGTTGTAATATTTGACGTAACTTGTGCTTTTTAAGCTAAAAAAATCTTTTTCATAAACTTCATCAAATAGTCCCTTACAGAAATCTTAGATTCAAATCTATTTACCAGCAAATACTTATAAATAAAAGGAAAAAAATAAGTATTAGTTTGCATTGTTAAAAATAGATAAAAAACCAAATATTAAGTTGTTTTAATAAAATTTTATTGAAAAAGTAAAATATCTTAATTTTTAAAATAAAAAAGAGGCTATTTTAGTCTTATTTGTGGTATTTGATTAAAACAAGTAATTTTAAAATTTTTTTACATAATTTTTTATAATATAAATTGTTATCCATTAATCTTTACATAAAATATTATATATAGACGTTGTATTTTTTTATA